GCTAGGCCTAATGAAGCCCTTATCCAGCAAGTCCTTCAACTGCACCTTCAACTCTCGCAACTCTGTTGGGGCCATTCTATATGGAGGGATAGAGATCGGTTGAGTGTCGGGCAGCACATCAATGCTAAACTCAATCTCCCTTTCAGGAGGAAGGCCTGGGAGTTCATCTGGGAAAACATCTGGGAATTCGTTGACCAGGGGGATTGATTGTAAAGTAGGCAGTTTCACCTCCGCATCCCTAACGCGAACGAAATGATAAATATAACCTTTTGAGATCATTTTCCTTGCCTTAAGATAGGAAATAAACATACCTTTTGGTGTAGCAATATTCCCTTTCCATTCAATGATGGGTTCACTAGGAAATTGAAACCTAACCATCTTCATACGGCAGTCAACATTTGCATAGCATGAAGCCAACCAGTCCATTCCCATTGTCACATCAAAATCAACCATTTCTAACTCAAATAAATTTGCCGAGGTTTGACGACTACAAAACATCATAGTGCAACCTCTATATACCCTTCTAGTAATCACAGAATCTCCTATCGGAGTAGATACCGCAAGGGGTTTACTTATCAATTCAGGTTCAATGCCAAACTTATTAGCCACAAAGGGTGTAACATATGATAATGTAGATCCCGGATCAATCAGCGCATATACATCATAAGAAAACACAGATAAAATACCTGTAACAACATCTGGAGATGACTCGAGATCCTGTCAACCTATTAGAGCATAGGTTCGATTTTGACCACCCCTCAAACTCGGCACTGCACCTCTGCCTCTACCACGACCTGTCAACTGCTGAAAACCCCTTGCTAAGGGTCGAACTGATAAGGAAGAAGAAGACACAGATCCAGTCGGCTAAGCCAAGAAGCAGACACAGATCCAGTCGGCTGAGCCATACCATCACCTCCCCTGTTAGGACAACCCCGCATCATATGGACAGGCTATCCGCAAGAATAACATGCATCAGAACCTCGACGGCACAGTCCAAAGTAGGCCTTGCCGCAATGATCACAACGTGGTGTTGTGGGTCTCGTCTGACTAGTATCCCTGTGATGTTGCGAGCCTGATGCCTACGAACTCTGACCTAGACCAGAATGGGTAAATCGATCATATTAAGGCCTCTGAAACTCTGGGGGAGCACTAGCTACAGGTGGCGCCGAACTCCTCAAAGACTGGGGCCTGACGCTGCCTCTGAAGTCATTAGAATACCTTGCAAATCTCGCCCTCTTATGCTGGCCCCTATCCTGCTCCCTATCTTCCCTCTGTTGTCGCTTACGATCCTCTAGGGTCTGGGCATAAGCCTGAATGCGGGAAATATCCATGCCCTCCACCAAGGAGGCTGTCGTGCACTCATTTATCAGATGTGGTCCCAATTCGTTCACGAACAAATACACCCTATCATTTCCTTTTGTTTTTACTTATGCAGAGACAGATTCGTGTATTTCTATTCAGACTTTATTTGTAGTATTCATAGATGGTCCGTAATATTGTGACACCAAATTCTGGGTAGAGTTATACTTAGACTTCCGCAGTTTGTATTAATCTAAATTATCAAATTTCGTCTTCCGCACTGTTTTTGTTATTATTATTTCCGCTGCTTTTGTTATGTTGTTTTGGAATTGTTAATGGATTAAAAATGAAAATTGTTAAATAATTGGACTAATTGGTTTGCCTAGCTTTCACTAGTAGGCGTCATCACGACTCTCGAGGGTGAAAAATCCGGATCGTGAAAAATCATTATCCTTCAATATCTTTTGTCTAACTCCGTATCTCATCTTAGCTTCGCAATTGATGGAATTACATATTTAGCATCTTGCCGGCCTCCATGACTTGTCTCAAGCTCGTTGTTAGTGGTGCACCCATCTGTTTAAAATCCTAGATCTACTTCTGTAGTAGTACATGGTAAACAACTAAACAATTATCACAAATAATACTATAACTCCTGAAAATTTCAAGAAGATTTCAACCAGATGTGAACCGCGTCAGAATGTGATCCTTCTACTCAGTGGCGGAGCCACCTTATAGGAAGGGGTTCGCGGAAAAAAGGCACTGTATAGGTAGGTAAAAAAATAAATTATATGTATATATACTATGTATTGACTCCCTTTAATTTTCTGGTATATTTACTTTTATATATTTTGACACCATTTAACGAAAATTCTGACTCCGCAACTGCTTCTACCGACACAAAACTAATAGTAGCAATAGCTTGTCTCTCATCTGCCATTCTCCATTTATCTGTTCTCGTTTTCAGATTTTCCTATCTTGTTGTCGATCAATTTCAGCAGCTGTTGACACGTTTGGGTAGCCAGGATTATGGAAAACGGATGTTTGGCTTTTATTAAATACACAGTAGATGTCCATAGGATGTACGTAGGAGGATATTAGATGTCCATAGGATGTACGTAGGAGGATATCAGATGTCCATAAGATCAGAAGCGGTAGAGATTGAAAAGGCTAGGTTACACATTCCTCTCGTACATGTCTTTTGCTTAGGGATGACAATGGGGCGGGGCGGGTTTGGCAAAACCCACAAAAATTTCAACCAGCC